TGAAATAAATGGCTGGGAGACTTCAATGCTCACGTGGGAAATGACAGTGAGACCTGACAGTGAGACCTAAGTGGACACCCCCCCCCCCGCCCCCCGAACCCGAGTGGTGTTTTGTTATTGGACTTCTGTGCTCATCACGGATTGTCCATACCGAAAACTATGTTCAAACATAAGGGTGTCCATATGTGCTCTTGGCACCAGGATACCCTAGGCCGCAGTCCTATGATTGACTTTGTTGTCATTTCATCTGATCTGCGGCCAGGTTTTGGACACTCGGGTGAAGAGAGGGGCGGAGCTGTCAACTGACCACTACCTGGTGGTGAGTTGGCTCCGTTGGTGGGGGAGGATGCCTGTCAGACCTGGCAGACCCAAACATGTAGTGAGGATCTGCTGGGAACGTCTGTCAGAGTCTCCCGTCAGACGGAGCCTCAACTCACACCTCTGGGGGAACTTCAAACACGTTCCGGGGGAAGCGGGGGACATTGAATCTGAGTGGACCATGTTCCATACCTCCATTGTCGAGGCGGCTCACCTGAGCTGCGGCCGTAAGGTTGTCGGTGCCTATCGTGGCAGCAATCCTCGGACCTGCTGGTGGACATCGGCAGTGAGGGATACTATCAGGCTGAAGAAGGAGTCCTATCGGGTCTTTTTGGCCTGTGGGACTCTGGAAGCAGCCAATAGTTATCGGCAGCCCAAGCGGATTGCGGCTCGGGTGGTCGCTGACGCAAAAACTTGGGCGTGGGAGGAGTTCGGCGAGTTCATGGAAAAAGACTTCCATATACTGTAGCTTCGAGGTGATTCTGGTCCACCATCCGGCGTCTTAGGGGGGAAAGTGGTTCGCCACCAACACTATTTATGGTGGGGATGGTGCGCTGCTGACCTCAACTCGGGATGTTGTGGGTCGGTGGGCAGAATAGTTCGAAGACCTCCTCAATCCTACCGATACATCTTCCCATGAGGAATCAGAGCCTGAGGACCCTGGGTTGGACTCTCCAATCTCTGGTGCCGAGGTCAATGAGATGGTTAAAAAGCTAGAGGCTTTTTCTAGTGGCAAGACGCCGGGGGTGGATGAGATTCACCCGGAATTCCATAAGGCTCTGGATGTTGTGGGGTTGCGTTGGTTGACACAACTCTACAATATCGCGTGGACATCGGGGGGCAGTTCACCTGGATTGGTAGACTGGGATGGAGGTCCCCCTATTTAAAAAGGGGGACCCCAGAGTGTGTTCCAACTATAGGGGGATCACACTTCTGAACCTCCCTGGTAAGGTCTATTTGGGGGTTCTGGAGAGGAGGGTCCGTCGGATAGTCGAATCTTGGATTCAGGAAGAGCAGTGTGGTTTTCGTCCTGGTCGTGGAAGAGCGGACCAGCTCTACACCCTCAGCAGGGTCTTGGAGGTTGCATAGGAGTTCACACAACCAGTCTACATGTGTTTTGTGGACTTGGAGAAGGCGTTAAACCGTGTCCCTCAGGGACTCCTGRGGGGGGGGGGGGAGTTACACCGGGATGGGTACCAGGCCCATTGATACGGGCTGTTAGGTCCCTGTATGACCGGTGCCAGAGCTTGGTCCGCATTACCGGTAGTAAGTTGGACTCGTTTCCGGTGAGAGTTGGACTCCACCAAGGTTTCCCTTTGTCACAGATTCTGTACATACCTTTTATGGACAGAATTTCTAGGCGCAGCCAAGGTGTTGAGAGGATCCTTTTAGGTGACCTTAGGATCATATCTCTGTTTTTTGCGGATGATGTGTTCCTATTGGCTTCATCAGATCGTGATCTCCAGCTCTCACTGGAGCGGTTCGCAGCCAAGTGTGAAGCGGCCGGGATGAGGATCAGTGCCTCCAAATTCGAGGCCATGGTCTTGAGCTGGAAAATGGTAGTGTGCTGCCTCCCGACCCCCGTTAAGTGGAAGAAAACGGACGGACAGACAGACGAATAAACAAAGATCTATGTTCTACCAAACATCTAAGTTCCTCTGTGTTTACAGTAATTATGGTAATAAACTCGTGCGCAAAGTTAATATTTTCAGACTCAGTATGGATGAGTCGGTTGCGCAACACAGCAGCATGCGCGTACGCACACACACACACACACACACACACACACACACACACACA